GGGAAAAGTGGGAAAAATCAAAACAAAATCTCAAGTGGTTGTTGAGTAAGGTAATTCTTGATTCATGGTCAAAAATCTTTTGTCCTTTTTTTGTGTGTTTGCCCTTCCTTGAAATGGTGTGTATTTATCTTCTGTTTTCTTTCCATTTCCCTATCCTTCTGTCATAAAAGCTTCACGGGGGGGGGGGGGGGGAGGAAGGGACGGGACACATCAACATATGAAGTAAGCAGTAAATTGCAGAATTTATTAAAGACTTCCATAGTCCTTTAGCTTGTATTATATTCTTTTTCTCTTGCATATGCCTGTGGTTTTTATTTTTTTTTTCTATTTAGAGTATTAACATTCTTAAAAGGGCTACATCTTCAAGGTTTTACAGTATTTGGTACTGTGGGTGGGGGTTGTCTCATGTCAGTGACTGCTGTCAGATGCAGTTCTTAACAAAAAATAAAATCCATATTCTGGACTGTATGTTATTCTTATCCTTTATTTTTCTGATTTATTTTTTTTTCAGGGAAGCAATTAAAAGTATGGGTCAAATATGTGTGAAAAGATTGGTTCTAAAATTCTATTTTATTTTCAATCTCTGCATACAGTTTACCTCACTGGGACATCTTGCTCTTTTAGGTTTTAATAGCTCTTTCCACCTTTGCTGATAGATCTACCATTCACTGTTGATCTGTTGAGCCTTGATAGCACTGATGATAGCATCACTGTTAGTGCTGATGTTCTGGGACTTGGGAGAGCTGGAGGTAGTTTGTATGGTTAAATTTGCAGGTCTTTTGCTTGCATGTCAGCTGTAATTTAAAGGTACTACTTCAAGCTATAGCTGTAAGACAAACCATGTTTGGATGACTTAGTTTTCTATTGCAGCATATACGAAGTGTTGGCTGTTCAGTAGGGATTCGGACTTGCTGTTTGTATACTTCAAATTACATTTAGAAAAATATATTTACGGAGGTAATATGTGGATGCAATTTTAGATTCTGATATAGATATTACTAGATATACTAATAGTAGTTTCGATGGCATGTAAATCAGCAAAACAAAAGTCTGTGGTTGCGAGGAGAAGCTACTTGCCTACTGCCAGAATTACTGAAGAATACCAATGTAGTTTATACATGTAGGTAGTAAAATTACATGCATTGAAGGTGTGACACCTGGAGGCACCCAAGCCTGTCTAGTTGTCTTACTGGTTACATGCTAATTCTAAGATCAGTAGCCTCTGTCCTGGTTTCTTCCTGAACTTAAACTTTGTTCTGGAAGAAGATGAAGACTATTTTCCAATTAAAATTCAGGCCTATGCACTACATGTCCTACTGCTTTATGCCACTACAAAAAATTTCCTTTCTGGGTAATCTTTATAGAATCATAGAATATCCCGAGTTGGAAGGGATCCACGGGAGCATTGACTCCAACTCCTGGATCTACAGAAAACTGTCTAAAAATCAAACCCTCTGTTGGACAGCACTGTCCAAATGTTTCTGGAATTCTGGCAGGCTCTGGCCACTGCCCCAGGGAGCCTGTCCCAGTGCCCTACCACCCTTTCAGAGCAGACCCTTTCCCTAACCCCCAGCCTGACCCTCCCCTGTCCCAGCTCCATGCCATTCCCTCAGGTCCTGTTGCTGTCCCCAGAGAGCAGAGCTCAGCATCTGCCCCTTTGCTCCTCTCCTGAGGAAGCTGCAGGCTGCAATGAGGTCCCTCCTCAGCCTTCTCTTCTGTGCGCAGAGAGCTTTTCTTTTTACATATGTAAATTCAGGTTATTCAAATTAGCAAGCTATTTGTACTCTAATTGATAGCGTTTTATCCCACCTTATTGGAGACTGTACTGTATCAGAGATTGTTAATATCTAGAGGTTTAGCCTGGCTTTTGTTAGAGCTTTCGCTGTTTAGTGACTTGTAGAAGTGTTACAACAAACTTGGTCTTAAAAATCAACATTTTTTTAGAAATATGAACTTAAAAACACTTTACAGATGCTTTCTGTATTTAGTCTTAATCTTACCAGGCATAAAACGTGTAAGTTTATGCCTTGCTGAAATAGTGTTTCCTGTGTTTAGACAGCTTGTTGATGAGGTGCTATCTCATAAGAGAAATCATCTTGATTCCCTCAACATTAGCACTGAAGATGATAGAGCACTGTTTCCCTCTGCCAAATAGGGCTTTATATTTTAGCAAGAGAAGATAACTTTTGATCTAATTCTTTGCTCTGTAGGGTCACTGTATCACCCAGAGCTACTTTTTTCCAGACAAATGAAAAGTGTATATTTGAGTAACTCTTGAGAAATCTTGACCTATAAGTCCAAATGGGATGCATCGGTGCTGAGAGAAGTGTCTGATGTCCTTGTGAGGCTGTTCACTGTTACAGTTGCTGAGTTGCAAGTTTTGGGGGAGGTTGGAGAGTGGGAGAGTCTGGATCGTGTTTCCCAGAGAGGTTTTTGAATCTGTGTCTTGAAGTTGTAAAAAACCAAACCAAAACAAAAAAACTATTAAGGAAAACTCATGTTTCAGAATTTTAGGATCTCGACTAACATGCTTTCCTCTAGCTTTGGATCGGATAGCTATTTCTCACTATTCCTCAGATCTTCAAACTACTGATTTAAAAATGACCACAGGTCATATGCCTGAATAAACGTGGCAACTAAATGTGTTACAGATTGATGGCTGTCATCACTGTTCACTCTCATTTCCTCCTGTGATGCTAAGAGTTCCTGGGGCTCTGTTACAATGCATGACCTCAGGGGTTCCCTATCTTTTTGCATTTTGTCAGGTTTCATTCCTTTTTCTTTGTATTTTCTCTGCTCTGACGCTACATTCACAATATCTTTAAATCTTTTTTTTTTTTTCTTTTTAACTTACTTTTAGAGGATTATCATTGGTGTTGCTGTCTAAAATCTTACCTGCAGCTGTATTTTCATACTGTTTACTAAGCTCTTGTAATTCTTCATGTTTTTCTCATTGGGCAGATATTTCATGCTCACTGCAGAATGAAGGAACTGACCTACACATTGATCAATCTGGGGAAAAAATGCCTGAGGCAGTACTAAAAAAAAAACATGTTATGATATTGAAAGCCAACTTTACTAAGGAATTTGATGTTACAGTTTACTATGCAATATTTCTGTATCATGACATAGTACAGAAGGCATTAAGGACGTAAGATACATATTTTAAAGTGAATCTGCAATAGATTTTAAATCATATTAGGAAATGGAGGAAATACATCTGTTGTGTGTATGTATAGTAGGGCAGAGAAACATTCACACTGCTTTTTTCAATTAAATGCTCCAAGTTTTCAAGTTTTACATTGATCTTGTCAGATGCATAACTGCTGAGTAGTCTCCTAGTACTGCTGTGTGGGAAAACCCAATGAAATTATGGAAGGTTCATTGAATTGAAAGGGTGATTTTTTAATAATCTGAAAAGCTGCTGTGTAAAGGGAATATTTATTAAGCTATTGTAGTGTTGCCCTTCTTTATTAGAGTACTGATGTGAAGTAGACCATGGTGTGGATATTTATTTATTTATGCATTGTGTATCCTTGGATCTGTATCTTCTTACTCCCTGGAGACTTGCTAAATGTCTTCAAAATCCTTGCAACTTCCCCTAGTATTTTGTTGTTTTTTCTTCTTTCCTCTCCTGTCATTCATTCTTATCCACTTAGCCAGGTATCTGCAGAGCTGGCTAAACAGTTCACAGACGCTTCAGATACACGGTACTGTTATGTGATGGTGTCAGTTCTGCATTAGTAGTATAATGAAAGCAAGGAAGAATGGCACAAAACGCAGGTAGGAAATAGGTATATACGCTGTTACAGATTTGATTCCAAATAATGACACTTCAAATTTAAACGTTTGCCATGCCACTGAGCTGCTGTTTTGTGGGTCTCTGTGGTTATTACTCCCTTAGGGATTTGTTGAGGCTCTTGAAGTAACCGAGGATAATTCTTAACACTGCTTGGGTTCATTTACGTTAGTACCACTTCATGCAGGATGTTTTTACTACTCAAAAAGAAACTGAACTTGGGTGACTGTGACTTCATTAAAACTCCTAAAACTGGCTAAGTGCCACATCTCCTGAACTTCAGCAGAAATTCATTGCAAGAAACGAGAGGGGCATAGGTTCCCATTTGCCTGCAGCATGAAAGCCTCCTTCTGCCAAACCAATGTGTTTTGTTATATTAAAAAACACTGTTCCTGCTGTGTCGTTTTATGCCAAATGTTCCCTGTGGTTGGGCATGCGGGCTGTAACTACCTTCTGACAATTGCATCAGAGCAAATGAGCTGTGACACTGCTTGCCTATTTTTAAATAAGCTCAATGTTGTCCATCTAATGAAGTGCTAAAGCATACTGTGCCTAGGGGAAATGCAGGCTTTGCATGAGGAGTAGTTAGGAAGAAGTTCTTTTAAAAAACACAAACAAACAAAACAGAAGTATGATTTCTCAATGTTGCAATAAGCAGCTACTGTTTAACTAGAGCCAATCCTGAGTTGCTGATCTTTACTCAGAACAGGTAGCATTGATAATCTTGGAGAATGCTGCATTGGCTGTGCTAAATGTGTTAGCTGCATTTAGGGAGGGCTTCTTGAAGTGCAAGCTTGGAACTTCTTGAACGTGGTGGTAACGTTCCTTACCTTTGCAATGGGAGTGTATGGCTGTGCGTGTGGATAGTACAGTAATGAGTATACCAAGATTTGAAGATCACCACAATTCAAACTGAATCCATCTTGCTTGATTTACATGATGTTCTGTTTCAGTGAATAATTAAATGGAAGTAAGAGAAGTTCTGGTTTCTATTTAATTTAATATTGGCCCCAAGATCTTTGACAGTTTGACTTCTGTATTGAAGCCTTTGGATTTTGACTGCTTGAGGTTATCTCCTCGTTCCTCTGCATGTTTAGCAACTGCTTGTTTTGTTTTCATTTTTATTTATTTATTTATTTATTTATTTATAGGTATGCTGATAATCTGTTAAAGAATGTGCTCATTTTTTTTTTTCTTCCAGAATACAGAATGTAATGTAGGTCTGGAATTGCAGAAACTTGCACTGGAGGACTACTCTTTTTCTGTAAGTGATGTGGCTGTTTGATATGCATGTGATTGGTATGTAATGGGTCGTAGAGAAGGTGATACAATCATCATAATCGTATGCCAGTTGTATTTGTACTGGATATGTATCATGTTTTATGATTCTTTTGGTGTGAATGGTGCTGCCTCGAAGGTAATTTGCATCTGTAGAGAAAAAAATGCAAAATAGATGTTGAATCAGTAACTTCCTTTTAATTTTGTTATTAAACATAAAAAGCATGCTGCGGTAAACAAGTTCATTTTTTTAAAAGTGATTTTGATCTAATAGGTACTCTATTTGGAGCTTCACAGGTAAAAAATGCAAGAACTGTTCCAAATTGTGACATGTAGAAATACTGGAAAAGAATTGGAAGTAGCTTTCACCTGATCTGCGTTCTTGTCTGCCACACTTGTATATGCTGTTTAGGCAGCTGTACCAAATAGCGCATTGAAAGTCTTTTGCCTGTGAAAAATAAACCTACATTTTAAAAAAGCAGACTTGATGTGCAGTGTGCTCTTCTAAATACGGCACTGTTCCCTTACTGGTGCTACAGCTGGGTAGGAAGCTTCACTGATAAAGCTTTCTGTAATGGGTGTGAAGCAGATGCTAGTATGAGCAGCGAAAATGCAACAGGTCATGCCTGAGATGATAATCATGCTTCTCAGCTCATTAGCACCTTTCCTCTAAGATGATCAGAGCATTTGGAATGTTGGGTTTTATAATACCTATGTGAGCCGCAAGTGCAGTATTATTTCTGCATCTTATAGGGAGTAAGCTGAAAGAAATAAAATGCTGAAGTAATCCAGTGAGCTGCTGACCAAACCAGAAATAACTCAGGTGTTTCTTACTCCTACTGTTCTTATAGAACTTGTAGCATTTAGCATATGTCTGGAGAGTGCAGAAGAGAGAGATCAGTGCTCTACTTCAAAATGCCGTGACTGGTAAACGAGAAAACTGAATCTATTCCTATTAGGCTTCAGTTCATTTGATAGGACCCCATTTTCTGTCAGAAAATGCTTAGATGTCTGCAGATTGAGAAACGTTGAAGAGCACTGAAACTATCAGCATAGATATTCTGGCAAAGTTAGCCTTGCAGGAAGAAGGTAGGGAGCTCTGAAGACCAAGGGTGCAGCTGGCTAGCAGGAGATGAGGCACACAGCAAAGCGGAGAGGGGGTGTGGGTAACGACACCTGCTGTGAGGAGAGCAGTGGAGGACAGGAAGAGCTGTTTTCTCTTTATAGCAACAAGTCTGAATTTACAATTGAACGTGTGGTGACTCTAGTCCCCATCTGTAACCTTTATTAATACCTGGAAATGCTTTTCTCTTATGTCCTCCCTGCCGAAACTCCACCCATTGGTTATTTTTGGATTGGAGATACTCAGAATTCACAGCAGTGAGAAGTGAAGAGTCAAACTGGGGAAAAAAAAAAAAAAAGCTGCTTTGGCTCAGATATTTTTTTTTCTTTTTCCCCCCTCCAATCTTGGAAATAAAACAACTCCTTTCATTATAGGAAGGAAAGAGGAGAAGAAGCAAGTACAGACACTTTAGTACCTTGGCTTAAAGATGTAATATAAAATGTTCTCGGTGTTTTGAGGTGGAAGTGTAACATGCAAACAGATCAAGTAGGTTGGTACTATGACAAAGGAGAGTTTGAGATGGCTGGGCAGAATATCAGTAGGCCGTTGAGCTAATTTTATTTTAAGTGAGAGTTGATTGTTGAGGGAGGTGAAACTGAGTGTTGGAGGAAATCTCTTACATGCTATTCTTTACTGTTAAAGAAATAGTATGAGAACTTCTGCACCTTGGTCGATCTGATCTGTACTGCCTTACTAAGCCATTCCTCTGAAGTAGAAACAATCCTCTTTGATGTACTTTCCAATCCAACTACAGAATATCTTGCAAATAAAAGTCTACCATGATTACGAAAACAAAAGGGGTTAGTAATCAGATAATTATCTCAATCGGATAGTGACAGGACAAGGGGGAATGGTTTTATACTAAAAGAGGAGAGATTGAGATTAGGAGGGAATTCTTCACTCAGATGGTGGTGAGGGACTGGCACAGGCTGTCCAGAAAGGCTGTGGATGCCCTGTCTCTGGAGGTGTTCAAGTTCAGGTTAGATGATGCCCTGGGCAACCTGATCTAGTGGGTGGCATCCCCACCCATGGCAGGGGAGCTGGAACTAGATGATCTTTAAGGTCTCTTCCAACCCAAGCAATTCCAGGATTATATAATAATGCTGATTCTGAGTTTTGTACAAAGCTTTGCTGACTGGTGTTGAGGACTTTTGCTAAATGGAAACACCATCTCCAGCTGACACAGCATCTGGCTGCAAATTCTGCATTTTCTTCTTACTCTATTCTACTCTCACTGGTTTGTAGGCTTGAAGATCAAAAGAATAGGGTCATTCTACTGGTCTCCAACTCTAACTAACTCTTTTCTTGTGAGTTCTAAACAGGTACCAGTTTTGTTCTCAGCAGATATATGTTGGACCTCTTGACAGTCATTTGGGGTTCATCTGAAACACTATTACAAAGTAAAAATGTCAGAACATATTTTTGAGTGCTATATAAAACTCTCTTATTTGCTTTTACTTTTGTTTTGATCTATATATGATTGAATTGACTTCCACAGAGCTCTTGTTCTCTGAGCATGAACCTGAAATATATGCATTGCACAGTTGTTTTAACAGTAACTTGTTCACTGCATTTAAAGTGATAGTCACTGAAAATTTGACTGATATCTGTTCCATATGTGTTTTATTAAAGTAGGTACTATTTCTTATCTGTTTTTAACATGACACAGTTTATTGTCAAAAATCTTAGACCCAAATTTACCTGTAATCTAATTCGAGGGATGTTATTGTACAATCTATAAAGTAAAATCAAATGTAATTGGTTTTGCATAACTTTCCATTATTGGTGATGTTCAGAGTACTGCAGGTAGCTGATAAAGCATTTGCTGGTTTTCCATCTTCTTGTGGTTTGTGAAATGTATGACTTCCTCTGATTAAGATGTTTTTTATTGCAAAATAATTTATGCACACCTTAGAGTTTTTACTAGATCTCAGCTACTCTTATGGGAAAATCACAGCTTCTGAGATGTCAGCATTTTGTGTGTTCATTGGTTATTCAGTAGCGCTCTGTCCAACTTGAACAGCTTCAACAGCTGCAAAAGGATTTCACTACGTATTAGTAAGATACAAAGTAAAATCCTGTCTTTCATATCCCACATAGTATCTTTTGTCTACTATTGCCCTAAAAAGAGTATTAGGTATATCCTGCCACGCAAATCCATAATAAATCAAGTCTTCCTGTTTAGTTCACTTAACATCACCTTCAATGGAATTACGAAGGAAAGAAAAACGAAAGCTTCCAATCAAAGCGGTTGTTAAGAAGATATAAAAACAAAAGAAATGCACATGTAAAGTTCAGCATTTAAGAGCTTTTGAATTTGCAGGTTTTTGATGCATCCTCCATGGCTCTTTTAAATGCTAATAGAAGTGTAGGATTTAGAGGGAGAATCTCAAGAGGTAGAAAAGATCTTTGGAAGATAAAAGCTTAATTCACAGAATTCCTGTTCCCAGCACTTCTAATAGTCAAACACAAGTTTTACAGCAAAATCCCCCTTTACAAAAGATGCACGGATACATTTTGCACTTCTAAAAACTGGAACTGTTGAGGTCTAAAAGGCATGAAATTATACTTAATTTACAAGATTGCTTATAACATATAAAATGTTCTTCTTTCAGCTATAAAAGAATCATACACATTTATTTATATATTTTGACTGCCTATATAAAGGCATATGCACAGCCTTTTTTTTTTTATCTGCTGGAGAGATGTGTACATTATATGTTTGGGCTTCGATATCATTAATATTGTGTGTGCCAGTAGTGCTAGCACATTGGGCTAGCACTTAGAGTTGTGGATATTGTGAGGAAGAGTAGATAAAATGAAACAAGATGAAAGAAATAAGATCACTTTAAAAAATAAAAATAATAATAAAAAAAAATAGGAATGGGTAGAGGCGAGAGAGAGAGAACAAATGATGATGAAAAATTCCAGGAAATCCAAAGATGGAAAAGAGCAGTACAGACAAGAATACAAGTAATGAAACAAATTTTGAGTTGAGATCTTTATATAACCATTGAGTTGGTGTGATGTCAAACATTTCATTAAAAGGATAAGTAACCTTATACAATTTCTTTGCTACTGTTAAATTGAACGCTTTAGGAAAAAGAGCTCTGTAATGGTAGTTGTAAATTTTAAATCATGGTTGTTCTTTAAAGAAGACCACTATTTCAGTAAGATAGTAAAAGTGTTCTCTAATTTTGACCTTGCTACCTTAATTCCTACAAGAAACTTAGAAATGTCAGTTTTGCATGATTGGAAGTTGGGAATGACTGTTTTTATTGATAGAATCAGTAATGCTTGTCGTGTATTTTCCAGAAGTATTTGCTTCAGTGACTATTTCAATTGAGTGAAGATATTTTTCTTAATTTAAGAAAGGCAAGTGGTTTCATTTAACAGAAGAATAGCTGTGTTAAGTGTTTCAGACTTCCCTTGAAAAGAAAGCCTTATTTTCTACTTTCAGCTAATATGTGGTAGCTGAAATCTGAACTGATGCTACTGTTCTAGTAAAATTTGTTATTGAGTTAGCACATCAGTTAAGAAAATAATTTAGCTACAAATTTGACAGTAATATTATAATGTGCAACCTTGGAGAGATTTGATTTATTGTTGTAAGAATAAATGAATATGAATTTGATCTAGCAATACTCTGTAAAATTCCACTATTATTTTTCACATGCCATTTGATAAGGTGAAGATAATAATGCATTCTCACAGAAGAAAAAAAAAAAATGCAGTATTCCAAGAAGTAAACTATTAACTTATAACCATAATGATTCAGAGCATTTAGAAAGGTTTCAAAACAGTCCTTAAAAAGCAAAGCACTTTCTAGGTGCACATGGGTCAAAAGTACATTCACATGGGTTATAACTAGTATTGGGTTAAGGTGTCGGTTCATGTGGTCAATCTCTACAAGATGTGTATAAGCTGTCTTCAAATTCTAGAGTTGAAACTGATAATTGTTTTGCATAACCAATTCTATGTCTTTTCTGTGTCTGGCATAAAACTGTTTTGGTTTTGCACTGCAGCGGTAGTTAGAAATATTTCAGATATTCTTCCCTCCCCCCTTTGAGAAATACAACAACTTTTACCAGAACTTTGCAGTTATTTTTAGCAAAAATCAGAAATGCAATTAAAAAAATGCATTGGGAAATGTTCCAGAAGCCTAGGTCTCTTTATTTTTCTTGTTGTTTTTATGTTGTGGGGCTGAATTTGTTAAGAGAATGATTCTTAAGCCCCTGTTTTTGAAATTTACTTGAAATAATTTGGCTTCTTCCAACTCAACAGCTATAGAGTGTCTCCTACTGCTGCTGATTCATACCATTTGTTCTTTGATACATCTCAGAAACATAC